TTGAAAACCTAGAGGAAATGGACAAATTTCTAGAAACACACTACCTACCCAAACTAACACAAAATGATGTAGAAAATCTGAATACACCCATAACAAGAGAAGAGATTGAAAAGGTAATTAAAAAAAAAAAACTCCCAACAAAAAAAAAGCCCTGGCCCAGATGGCTTCACTGGAGAATTCTACCAAACATTCAGAGAAGAGCTTACACCAGTACTACTCAAATTATTTCAGAGCACAAAAAAGGAAAGGACTCTTCCCAAATTCATTCTATGAAGCCGGGATAACCCTGATACCAAAACCAGGCAAAGACACCACAAAAAAAGAAAATTACAGACCAACATCTCTCATGAATATAGATGCAAAAATTCTCAACAAAATTCTAGTCAACAGAATTCAGCATGTCAAAAAAATAATACACCATGACCAAGTGGGATTCATACCAGGTATGCAAGGATGGTTCAACATTAGAAAATCAATCAACGTAATCTATCACATAAAAAAAGAGAGAAAAGAATCACATGATCACCTCAATAGACACAGAAAGGGCATTTGACGAAGTCTAACACCCATTCCTGATAAAAACTCTCAATAAAATAGATACAGAAGGGAAATTCCTCAACATAATAAAGGGCATCTATACAAAACCAACAGCCAACATCATCCTAAATAGAGAGAGGCTGAAAATATTCCCTAGAGAACAGGAACAAGACAAGGATGCCCTTTATCACCACTCCTATTCAACACTGTGCTGGAAGTTCTAGCTAGAGCAATAAGGCAAGAAAAAGAAATCAAGGGCATCCAACTGGTAATGAAGAAGTTAAACTTAAACTGTCCCTGTTTGCAGATGATATGATACTATACGTAGAAAACCCAAAAGATTCCACAAGAAAACTACAGGAATTAACAGAAAGATTCAGCTGAGTGGCAGGATACAAGATAAGCATACAAAATCAGTTGGATTCCTAGACACCAATAAAGAGAACAATGAAAAGGAAATCAGGAAAACAATACCATTTATAACAGCCCCTAAAAAAATAAAATACTTAGGAATAAATCTAAGCAGGGATGTAAAAGACCTATACAAAGAAAATTACTAAACATTACTGCAACAAACCCAAAGTGATCTACATAAATGGAAAAACATACCAGTACTACTCAAACTATTTCAGAATACAGAAAAGGAAAGATTCTTCCAAATTCATTCTGTGAAGCTGCGATAACCCTGATACCACAATAAAAGCCATGATAACCCTGATATTACCACGTTGAGGTAGACTCAACATTGTGAAAATGACAATTTTACCCAAATCAATTTCCAAATACAATGCAATCCCAATCCAAATACCAACAATATTCTTTAAAGAGGTAGAAAAACTAATCATTAACTTTATACAGAAAGGGAAGAGGCCCCAGATAAGTAAAGCACTACTGAAGAAGAATAAAGTAGGAGGATTTGCACTACCTGACCTCAGAACCTACTATACAACTACGGTATTCAAAACAGCCTGGTAGTGGTACAACGACAGATACACTGACCAATGGAACAGAATTGAGAATCCAGACGTAAATCCATCCACTTACGGTCACCTGATCTTCGACAAGGGCCCAAAGTCCATCAAATGGGGGAAGAGACAGTCTTTTTAACAAATGGTGCTGTTAAAACTGGATGTCCATCGGCAAAAAAATCGAACAAGACTCACACCTCACACCTTACACAAAAACTAATTCAAAACGGATCAAAGATGTAAGGGGAAAAAAATAAAAAAACAAAAAACTGGGTCTTTATTCTAAGAACAAGGGAAGAAATCACCATAGGTTTTAACATAATCATATATGTGTTTTGCAAAGGTCACTCTAAGGACTTCCAATTGAAATGCAGGTTAAACACACCCATTTATCTCTGTGCTACTTTTCAAAACCCTGCTAAGTTGACAGTAAATGTCTATAAAAGCGTATAAACTCACAGGACAAAGGGATCAGAAGAAGCAACAGCTGACAAAAAGTACTCAAGAAAATCTAGAAGGTGGAAAGCAGATGGACAAGTAGTATGGCTCAGCAGACCTGGAAATGCTACAGGGGCTCGGGAAGGAGAAAGCCAAGTGGTGAGACTCAGGAAGTGAAGTCATCTGGTACCACTAAAGGTGTACATATAGACTGAGGCTGAAAATAGCAGAATTGACGGAAAGATTCTATAAACAGCAAATAGTTAACCCATCTCTCATCCCCATTTCCACCTCTGTCTAGCAGAAATGTGGAGGTTTACTTTCTAGAAAGGGTGAAGAAGAGAAGCTCCAGCCTCAGGGATGCCAGGCAAGATCAGGAGAGGAGCAGGTGGAGTGCTAAGACACTATTCAGTAAACACCTTTCTCTGCTGGGCTCAGCAAACCTTTGCACTCAGGCTCATACCATAGCAGATGGGTGGAAGAGTCTTTCTGGGGATGCTAACTTTCCCAAGAGAAATACTGACATGTGTGAGTCTATCAAAAACAAACAGATCATACAAAACAATACCGCACTGCTTTTATCGTAAAGCAAAGCTCAACATTTACAATTCCTGCCCCTAAATGGGGCTTCTGGTCAGCTTTTTAGGAACTCGTTCTTAATATGAATAGACAGCCAAGGATCAGAAATCTTTTGAAGAGGGAATAAAATGAAACCAAATAAAGAAATCTATTGGCCACTCCTTGGAAACCCTATGGGGCAGTCCTACTCTGTCCTACAGAGTTGCTATGAGTCAGAATTGACTCAACGGCAATGGGTTTGGTTTTTTTTGTACTGGTTCCTATGAGATATTACAGAGAACAGAAAACACTAAAACACAACAATCAAAAATCTATAATCTATAACTGACAGCCTCAGAGAAACAAGAAATGCATGCTATAAAGCAGAGACATTCAGAGAACAGAAAAGTTCATGTTGTTGCTGTTAGGTGCCATCGAGTCAGTTCTGACTCATAGTGGCCTATGTACAACAGAAAGAAAAGAGGAAAAATTCTTAGAAATAAAAATATGATAGAAAAAATTTAAAAATTTAAGGAAGGATTAGAAAAAACTTTAATTTTAGAAAAATAAAGTTGAGATAATTGCCTAGAAAGTAGAACAGAGATAAAAAGAGAGAAAACAGAAGAATCAGACAATCAATCCAAAGGTCTGACATGTGCCCGAAAGGAATTCCAGAAAGAGAAGAAATTATCATAGAAATAATAAAGACGGTCTCCCAGAACTGAAGGACAGCGTTTCTAACATTAAAAGGTTCTTTAGAATGAATCAAACACTCACACCAAGGTACATCATTGTGAATTTCTGAACACCAGTGATCAAGAAAAGATTCTAAAAACTTTGAGAGAGGGGAAGGTTTTGGAGAGAAAAATGGCTTTGAATCTGTCTGGAAGTTAAAAGAAAAGCAAGTGATGTTTCAAATTTTGGACAAAATGATCATCAGTTTTATACTGGAGGCACTAACTAACACAATCACTCAAGAGTAATTAGAAAGGAGGAAATGTAACATTATTTGCAGATAATATGACTTTACACCTGGGAAACCCAGGAGAATCTACTGAAAAACTACCCAAACACTATAGTATCAGGGTATAAAATTTGTAGAAATCAATCATTCTCAAGTATACCAATAACAAGCAATACAAAGACAGAATGGGAAAAGGATCCCATGTATAACAACCACCAAAAATAAAGATAGTACACCAAAACTAAAGAACAACTTCAAGACGATTGACGAATACAAAAGAAGTCGTCAACAAATAGAATGACAGACCATGTTTGTGGTTAAGATGACTCAACATTAAAATTCCCCCTTAGTTTATTATTAATAAACATCATCTCAATAAAAATACCAACAGATTTATTACATTTTTTTTTAACTAAACAAGCTGAGTCTAGAATTTAATATAGAAACTTGAATAGTTTAAGGAAAGTAACACACAATGGGCAGGAGATGACAAAGAACTAACTAGTAGATTTTAAAACTTCAATAATTAAAATAGTGTGCCTCAAACCAGTGGGGAAAAGCTAAGTTATTCCAATAAATAGCATATGGACTACTAGGTAGTCTCCTAAAAAAAATTATAAAGTTGGATTCCTATCTTATACCCTAACCCTATACAAATTCCAAATCTATAAAAATTTTAATATAAAGAAATGAAAAATAAATGTTTCAGAAGAAAAAATGGGAGAATGTCTTCATAACCCTAGAGTGGAGAAGACCTAACTTTCTAACTTTCTAATGAGTCAAAGTCCAGAAGCATAAAAGAAGTTTGATAAATCAGAATACAAACAAAAATGTCTGCATAGAAAAAAATTAAGCAAGTCAATTTGACAAACTGAAAAAACATTATCACAAAGGGTGACTCTCTCCAGCTCCATAGTAATTAAGAAAACAAGCAACCCAACTGAAGAATACAAGTGGGCAAAGAATATGAACAGATAGAAAAGGAAACAGAAACAGATCAAAAACATAAAAAAGATACTCAACCGTGCTCAACAAGAGTAAATGCAAAATGAAGCTGCACTGGGATTCAATACCTCACTTATCAGATTGACAAAAATCTGAAAGTTTGATAATCTACTGTTGGTGAGGCACTCTCATACATTTTACATTGGTAAACCTGCATTAGCTACCAAATTATACTGCACATATCCACTGATCTAGCAATCACAATTGGGGCTATATCTGTGCACACATAAAAACACGTATGTATAAGTTAATCTCTGCAGCACTGTTTATACTAGCAAGACTGAAGAAAACATAAATGCCCGTTGACAGAGGAGTGGAGAAATACAATATAGCATATCCACAGGATGGACTACGGCATGGCCATAAAGTGTGAGGGAGCATAGCACAGTGGTTAAGAGTACGGACTCTGGAACCATACTATGTCAGACCTCAAATCCTGGCTAATATACTTACTAGCTATATGACCTTGGGTAAGTTATTTAACACCTCTCTCTATATCAACTTCTCTGTTAAACAGAAATAATAACAGTACCCATACATCAAAAGGTTATTTTGAGGATTAAATTAGGTGATACTTGAAACTATTCATGACATATACAAAACATACCTAAATAGAAAGATCTCCAAAATACATTACTATGAGAAAAAGCAATATATAAAACACTGAGTATGGTTTATAATTTTTATATATTAAAAAGGGGGGTAGGAATAAGAACATATAGTTACATTTGTAACTCTGGAAAGATACACAAGAAACTAATAAAGACTGATGGGGGGACTGGGCAGATTTGGAATGACAGGTATGAAAGAGACTTTATTTTCTTCACTGCAACCTTATTCTAGTTGGTTTTTTTTATTTTTAATTTGTTCATATATAATCTTGACAAAAAATTTAATTAATAAAAAAAATTTCTGAGGATAATCTAGAATTTTATACCTAGTCACTCTATCAATAAAGTGCGAAGGTAGAATAAAGATATTTTCCGATGTGCAAAGACTTAAAAAACTCACCTTCTCAGGAAGCTACGGTAGGATGTGCTCCACTAAATCAAAAGACCAAACCAAGAGAAAAAAAGCAAGAAACAGCATCCAACACAAAAGGAGAGACAATGTGAACTCCCATGTTAATAGTGAAGGGAAGCGCCAGTTCTAAAGTCTAAGTGTGAGCAGGCTTAAAGTGGAACCAGCCCACAGAGGAACAGAAGGACAGAGGCTCCAAGGGCAATTTTTCTAAGGGGGAGAAAAAAAGAAAAGGAACTGATAGGTTACCTATCTTTGGTCACATGGAAAGGTGTTTTATCACTCTGGCAGAAGAGAGTTTGGAATGAGTAGGTGGTAGATTTTTATTCACTTGCTAAGTTTTCTATGTAAGACAATTATTAACTACACACACAAAAAAAAACTATACAAAAGAAAGGAAATAGAATCATGAGTGACTGTGATGCAGCTGTGAACACTATTTACCTAGTCATAGTAATGTCAGCACTGAACACGGGTCTAACTAAAAATTTAACTGGTGAAGTGGTAGAAAAGTGTTGTGTGTGAGCGAGGGGTGGGGGTAGGGCAGTGAGGTAAAGATAAAGCCTCATCTTTCACAGTACAAAGTCATTAGCTGAATTAAAATATTGAAAAAGAAAAAAAATCAAGAAATAGCACTCCAAGTGTATATTTTTAAGTAAAAATATAAATACCAGAAGAAACAGCTGAAAGAGTTTTCAAAATACGGTCCAACACATACGGTCATGTTCTCTTCATCTGGAAGAAGTATTAGGGAAAATCCTAACTGAATCTTTTGGCTTTAAAGAAAGACATGCGGACTTGAATTTCATGGTAAAAAAAAAAAAAAACAACAACCAAAAACCTCTCAGGCAATGGTAATCATCCATTGCCATCTCTATTAACAGGGGTCACATTCCTGAAATATAAGTTACACTCTTGTCACAATAGATGCAATACTGTTCTTTCTGTCTTCAATGGTTATGTAGCATGAAGATCAACTCTGCTTATGTTTCTTGGAGATATAATTAACTTTAAGTTACAAACTAAAAAGTAACTTAAAGAACCAAATGACAAACTCTAAGATGGTGATGCCTTTTCACTGTCATTCATATGACAGCTATATAAAAAAAGTGCATTTTAATAGAAGTTAAGAGGCATTCAACAAACAGAGGCTTTTAAAGTCTCTAAACTAAACCAAGGTAAACTGATTCAACCAGGCTTCAAAAAGGAACAGGGTAGAGGTGGTGGCAGTCATAAAACTAAAACAGGGATTTCTAACAGGGTATATTCTCTGTATGTGCACATGTGCGTAAAATCCATAAGGACAACTACATCTAGGTTGTGGCTGAAAAACAGCACCCTAATAGTTAGTTCAGATAAGAATTTTTCTTTTTTCAAATAAAACCTGTAAGAACAAGGTATACTCATTCTCATTATGCAAAATAGTGCCCTTGATTGAAAACATATTGTAAAATACTGTAAATCCTTACTCCGGCCTCTCATTGATTGTTCCCAATTTTGCTAGAAGCCTAAACAGTCTTCCATTTTGAACCTCCTATAAAACATTTTAAAAAGAGAGAATGTTAATGTTCCAGCTAACTGAAAACAAAAGCAAATGTGTACAAAAACTGGTATACTGCACCAATATTACCTTTAACAATAAATCCCAATATCCCCTCCTTTTGGTTATACTTTTAAATACCACATGTCCATTTCATTTAATGGTATTACTCAAGAACATTACGTAGCTGGCCATTTTCAGGAACTGTTAACGTAAATCACATGAAAAATCAAGATTTTATCACATGACTGTAACAAAGCCGTGAAGGAAAAGAAGAAAAAAATGCCCAGAGGATATAAGAAATTTAAATACCGAGCATTCAGACTGGTCAAAAATATCTGCAAACAATCTTTTATCCAATTATAAACCTGATTCAACACAATAATTACTATGTTTTATATCTATACACACAGATTCAAGGGTGCATACACTCTTTTAACTACGTTCTTTACCTTTGCAAGGTCTTCCTCTATGACATCATTTCTCATTTGAGCAGCATCCAACTGAGTATAAAATCGAGCACCGATCATGGGCATAATATCATTTACACTCCGCATCCTGTTTTGGTCAGTCAACAAATACCTAACCAAAACAAAGAAGAGTCACTTGAACGCAAAACATGCAATGCCAAAAAAAAAAAAAAAACCACATCACTCACAGACACACAGCTATTGCTGCCATCATCATATTAGTATATACAATTTCCAAAACATTTTTTTCATGCAAGTTCATTTTTAAATGATTATAATTCTCTTCTCTGGAAAAGTTTAAGAGCCAACGCAGAACTGTAGACATGTTTCTTCTCTAACACACATCAACAGAGACCAGTTTTTCTTTTTAACAAGAATTTGAGTGTTCTCGTCTTAATAACTAAGAAACTACTCGTTTCAAAGGGCTACCTGCTAGAATACAATGATTCTCAATCTTTGGAACTTTCAATAACCTATTATTGCTTATTCTGATAGGAAGTTATTTCCTGATCATCTCATCAAAGCAGCCTCCCACACTTTCATCCTCTGCTTATTCTGTCTTATTTTCTTCGTAGGACTTAACACACTCTGAAAATATCTTATTTGGTTACATGTTTATTAACTCTTTCTTCCCATTAGGGTGTAAGCTCCAGAAGAAGGGGAAGTTTCACCTTGTTCAGAGTATCCTCAGCATCTGGCATAGAATAGGCATTCTTTTGTTGAATAAATGAATGGTTACACTCATGTGGACAATCTATGTCTTAACTATTCATCTGTAACTACTGACATATTTATCTAACTACTCATACTTAAGGTTCCCTGGGTGGCACAAACAGTTAAGTGCTTGACTACTAGCTGTTAAGTGCTTGACTACTAGCTGAAAGGTTGGTGGTTCAAACCCACCCGGAGGCATCTCGAAAAACAAGCCTGGTGATCTGCTTCTGAAAGGTCACAGCCTTGAACACCCTCTGGAGCACAGTTCTACTCTGCTCACATGGGGTCGCCATGAGTCAGATCGACTTGAAGACATCTAACAACAATAATTCATACTTAAAGTTATTACAAGCTATGTGACTTCGGCAAGTTACCACTCTGCTTCAATTTTACGATCTCTAAAATGGGGCTATTAATGGTACCTAACTTAACAGAATTAAGTGAATTAATTCTCTTCAGACAGTTAGAAAGTGCTTCACACATGGGTGACTGCTCCATAAATTTTAGTACTTGGTTATAAGTACTAAAGTATGACTATTTTCACCTTTTACTAGAAAAATTTCAAACATACATAACAGTAGAGAGAATAGTATAATGAATCCCCATGTACCCATCACCCAGTTTGAATTATTATTAACATATGGCAAATTTGTTACATTTATATTCCCCTTTTTTTTTTTTTAAATTGTGTTTAAGGTGAAAGTTTACAAATTAGATTCCCATTCGATAGTTTGTACATACAGTGTTTCATGGCCTTGGCTTCATTCTCCACAATGTGTCACCACTCTCCCCATTTCTGCCTTGTGTTCCCCCTTTCCTCTCGTCCTGATTTTCTACCCTTCCTGCCTTCACATCTTTGCTTTTGGGCAAATACTGCCCTTTTGAGCTCGTATAATTGATTGTCCTAAGGAACAAACTCCTCTCAGGTGTTACTGTTTATTTTATGGGCCTGTCTGTTGTTTGGCTGGAAGGTGGTCTCTAGCAATGGCTTCAGTTCCAGGTCAGAAGGGTGTTTTAGGGCCATAGTTTCGGGGGTTCCTCCAGTCTCTGTCAGACTAGTAAGTTTGGTCTTTTTTGTGAATTTCATTTTTTATTCTAGAATTTTTCTTCCGCTCTGTCTGGGACCCTCCGTTGTGATCCCAGTCAGAGCCACTGGTAGTGGTAGCCGGGCACCATCTAGTTCTTCTGGTCTTGGGGTCATGTAGGCTGTGGTTCTTGTGGTCCATTAGTCCTTCGGACTAACTGCTCCCTTGAATCTTTGGTTTTCTTCACTCTCCTTCACTCCAGACTGGAAGAGACCAGTATATGGCCACTCGCAAGCTTTTAAGACCCCAGACACTATTCACCAAAGTAGGATGCTTTGTCTTTATGAACTATGTTGTGCAAAGTGACATAGATGACCCCCGAGTCTATGGTCCTTTGCCTCTGGGCCTAAGAACTTCATCCCATGAGATGTTTGGTTATGTCTAAGAAGTTTCCCTGACTGTGCCCCCTGTGTGCACTATTATTTATATTAATATATCGGTAGCACCTACGGTCATGTATGTAGAAATATCCACTAGCAAACCTGTATATGCCAGTGAGTACGCTCCCTTACACCCTCCCACACCTCTTGGTATATTTATCTATGTATACATTCATAAATTATTGTTTGTTAATAGTATTGTTGCAGGATTGTCTACACTATAGTAGTTACCGTAGTTGTGTTCCTCACAGTGTTGTCTCTTGCCTTGGTCATGTTGTGCTGACTTCTCTCATATTGTGTATTGCCTTTCCCTTCACCAATATTAACATATGTCTTCTATTTGGTAATTTTCCCACCCTCCCCCATCCCTGGTAACCATCTGTCAAGGTTTGAATTATGTCTCCCAAAAAATGTGTGTATCAATTTGGCTGCGCCATGATTCCTGGTACTGTGTGATTTTCCTATATGCTGTAAATCCTGCCTCTGTGATGTTAATGAGGGAGGATGGGTGGCAGTTCTGTTAGTAAGGCAGGACTGGATCTACAAGACTGGATTGTGTCCTGAGGCAATGTCTTGAGATATAAAAGACAGAAGTGAGCAGTGAGACAGGGGGACCTCATACCATCAAGAAAGCAGTGCCAGGAGCAAAGCGTGTCCTTTGGACAGGGGTCCCTGCGCCGAGAAGCTCCTAGTCCGGGGGAACACTGAAGAGAAGAAGGCCAACAGAGAGAGAAAGCCTTCCCCTGGAGCTGACACCCTGAATTTGGACTTTTAGCCTACTTTGGCTGTGAGGAAATAAACTTCTCTTTGTTAAAACCATCCACTTGTGGTATTTCTGTTATGGCAGCACTAGATGACTAAGACACCATCAAAGAATGTTTTTTATACATATAAACCTTTTGTTGTACTTTGTAACAGTGGTCTCATACAATATTCATCCCCCATTTTTTTAAAAAAGGAAAATTTGAAGGTTATAACCTGAGATTATTTGAGACATCTTAAGTGTTACAAACTAAAGCTCAGAATCATTACTATGATACTATATGAAACAAGTATTTTTATTTAGAAGATAAATCATCTTATTTGATTATTAATAGGAACCAGTCAACAACTGGCTTCTAGTGCTCTGTCACAGCAGGACACTTACACCAAAGTGACAAAGCACTAGTGGGCAGCCCCATCCCCCACCTCCAATTCCACACCCCAGGACGAGTCCAACAAGAAACTGGATCATCCAGGGCTACACAGAAAAGATCAGAAAAAAACAGCTGGAAGCTAAAAGAGACTTGATAAGGACCAAGAATCTCTAATTGCTTCTAGAACATAACAGGGATATTTAAGAGACTTCCTAGTATCTCTTCTCTAGAACAGCTCATAATTACAATAATGGTCAGGGCTGCGCACCTTCTGAATTCCCCCAATGCTAGGTGTATCTCAGACAGGAAGAAGTCGTTCTGTGCTGACAGGGGTCCAAAGTGGGTTTCTTTTAAGCCAAATTCATTTCAAACCTATACCCAAAGATTCCCTGAAACCTTATGGTACTGGAGCAGAAGCTTTGGGTCATCTACATGCATGCTCTCTGGAATGCGTGTTTTAGCAATAGGGTACGTAACTGGATTGAATCTGAGGTTTATTTATAGCAGCTTTCATCCTCTAGAGCAGCATATCCAAGGTACTTTCTGAGATAGAAATATTCTGTGCTACCCAATATGGTAGCCACTAGCTCTATGTGGCTGCTCAGCTCTGGAAATGTGGCTAGTGTAATTGAGGAACTTAATTTTTAATTTTATTTAACTTTAAAAACTTTGAATTTAAAACACACATGTGGCTAGTGGTTATCATATTAGACAACATGGCTCTAGAGGGTGCTCTCTGAACAAATGTTTTTTAAAACCTCAATGACTAATTTAAACACATTGATTTATGTATTTATTCCAACCAATATAAAATAAAGCAGTAAAAATAAAGACGGTATTTTGCTGGAATTTAAATAGTAGGAACTAAAATAAATAAACAGAATCTTTGTTAAAAGGCTCCTTATGAAAATAAGCAATACTCAAGCTTAAATAAAGCTCTGTCTTAGCTCATATGATCACAACATAAGTTTTATCATGTATAAAAACTTACAAAATCAGATTCTTCAGATCAGAGGAGTAGTTGATTGTCACCAGTTCCATGGCTTTCTGTAAATTCTCTCGTTGAATTCCTGCCAAAGAGTTGCAAGCCAAAGCCAAGACAACTTTTCCTAATGATATCAGATCTGCTTGCTGACATGAAAGAATAAATATAACTTTTAATCTTATTTCACAGGTACCATTGACTACACTGACATTACTGCCTACATGAAAAAGGACCTTTGCAAATAAGCTGTAGAACTCAGAAAAGGGTGCTCAAATTTTGTTGCTCATCAGAATCACCTGGGAGCTTATTAAAAATCTGATTTTTGAGCCCCTCCACCAGAGATTCTCATTCAGCAGTCTGGGAACAGGCCCAACATTTTAAAGCACCTAGTATAATTCTGATGAAGGTAGTTCTAGAGCTGTGCTTTAAGAAACATTAAGCAATTCACATGCAAGCTATGGAGATGGGCTTTTAAAAGGTGTTTGGGTTCTTCTGTTGGTTTTAAACAGAGCTGGTATTCTTCACTATTAGAAGAAATTTAAAGCCAGTTATTATACTCTTGCTTTACTATGATCATGGTGAGTTAAGGTATGTACTTTTCTCACTTTCCATGACTCCCAGAATATAGTGGGAGTTTGGAGAATTATTTGAAAAGTTACCTCATTAAAAATATAACATCAGTATTACCTAATTTTAGAGCATGTTTTCTTTAACATCAAAAATGCTGCAAACCTTAGTGACATCCCATCTGTCTTTGCTTCCAAATAGACTATTTTTACTCACATTATAACACATTTTTAAGTTCTTTAACCACCTGATTTCCTAGCCCTTCCTTTTTTTAAAAAAAGATTTTAACATTCTGAGGCTTTCCTTCTAAAAGGGTTTCCTTCAAAACACAGATGGCTAAATTGAGGCAAAATCTTTATCATCATAATGCCAGGAAATAGAATGATCACTCCAAAAGGCCCTGCTTGGCAGGCAACTATTAATCATCACATGCCTAGGTGAACGGAGTATTCAGAATTTACTGGCATTATTCGTCTGGGGTAAGATCTAGGTATTGGTATTTTTCAAAGCTCCCACAAGAGGTTCTGACATGCAGCCAGGGCTGAGAACCACTAGGTTAGAGGAGTGCTTGTTACTGACATATGGGGCAATATTACCAAGTTAATCACTAATAAAATTTTAGCACTATATAACTTTTAACAACTTTCTACCCAAATAAAAAGACATAAGCCAACCTCCATTACAAAAAGAACAACATTAAAAAGTTCACATTTAAAAATCTACCCTAAACTAAGATTTGTGACTCTGACACTGAGCAGGAGATCCTGTAAATCAGTAGAACACTGACTAGATACACAGTCTACTTTGAAACTATCAAGATGAGATGCCAAGGATTCACATCAGGGGAACTTTCAACAGTGTCATGAGTGGTGCAGAGGAGCCTAGCTGGCAGGGGAAGGTGGCATGGGAAGGAGCACTATCATTGCTGCCATGTTCCTGTTCTCTGGAGGGCGCTGCTATGAGCCCCAGGAAGGATGGATTCCTCTCAGTCACTCTTCAGATCAAGCAAAACATTTCAAGTTGTATTAACGAAATCACAGGAAAGTTGGTCAACAGAATTCAATGCATGTAAATGGTAACTGTAAATTTCAATCCGATATATTCAGTAGAGCAAATAAAGGTTGTTACTGTTTGTCAACTATTTCAGCAGCACGTAGCAGCACACAGCCTCCCAACCCTGAAAATATTAGAATTTTCACAGTTTGGCTCCACTCTGAATGGATGCTGTACTAAATCTCTCACCTAGAACATTCCATCATTCTCTATCAGGAGAAAACAAAGGTCCAAGATAGCTGAAGGATTAAATGGGTTTAAAAAAGAAGAGAATCTGATTTTGAGTACATTCCACCACCTCTCTAGAGCTGATTCAAGGTGGGGATACCCACTGTTAGAAATAAAGTATACATGTGACATAATCCAGATTAAATTCAAATGGACTTTTTTAAAAAATAAGAGAATCCTGAGTAACTAGGAGAGTTTAACATCATAAAAGCTCAAAAACTCTCTTTCCTTGCTCAATCATTTTTCATGTGTTAGTTTGCTTCTTACCTCCATCTGGTTTTTCCCCCCATTTGTTGAATTCTGGAGGATTTCCCCCCAACTCATTTTCAGTTTCTTCCTGGTTTTCACAATTCTTGATTTCTTTCTCTGATTCTATCTATGGCTCTACTTATGTCCACTTTACTGAAAGTCAGTCTCTAGTCACGTGTCTGAAACAGACTATGAAAAATAGACTACAAGAAACAGTGCCTTTCTCGTGTACCCTTTTCTCTGTAAAATCACACTCCCCCTTTGTGGGGCTATCTTTAATTCTCTCCTATACTTTACAATAAACTATACAAAAATCTTCCACATAAATACATACACGCACAAAAGAAAAGAAAACTTGATACATTCCTTACTGCTGAGAAATAAAGAAAAGTGACAAATGGTTGCAGGTTGCCTGAGTTGGTGAATGAAGGCAGCTCCCGACTTACAAAGCAGTTGTCCCAAATGCTTATTTAATGTAATGTTTACCTCACCATTTGATTGTTTGGAACTCAGGGCATATTTTTTCTTAAGAAGAGTTTATTTTTCAAGGTAACTACAGAACCAGAACATAACTGACACACCGTACATTTGCAAAAGAATAATACTACTGTGACACTCAAAGAAAAAATGAAATTAGCCTTATTTTATACTAATAACTTAAAACACAACCCTGCTATTCAGAGAAGAATGAAGAGCTACTGTAAAGTGTGTGCTTTGTTTTGTTTTCTGTTATGTGGACATGGGGTCTCCAGATACTTGCAATGGAGGCTGATGGCACTGGTTCTAAATAATGTCTAATTTCCTCTCAAAAATTTAATCTTATTTTTCTGGATATATGAAGATTATTTGCACTTTAACAATCATAATCGGTCACTTTTCGAAGCACGAAGATTATGAAGAAAAAGTAACCAAAGCCAATTAGTTAGCACTAAATGTAAGACAAAGAGCCCTGGTGGCGCACTGGTTAAGTGCTCGGCTGCTAACTGAAAGGTCAGTGATTCAAACCCACCAGCTGCCCCATGGCAGAAAGATGTGGCAACCTGCTATTGTTAACGATTACAGCCCTGGAAACCCTATGGGGCAGTTCTACTCTGTCCTATTGAGTGTCTATGAGTTGGAATCAACTGGAGGGCAATGGTAAATAGAAGAAAGAAGGAAAGAAGCTAAGAAACAACCACCCTAAATGATAAAAAGGAATAAAACCCCCAGGCAGAAGAAAGCACTGGTTGGGAAAAGCCAGGGTCTATCCCTGTACTACTCACAAGATGGCACTATCAACCAGGACAGCTTGGCTGCTGTCGAGGTTCGGCGGGCCAGAGGGGAGGGAAGGATGATGTGAAAAGTGCATACAACTGAAAGTGAGTGAGTGCTGGTAATCTGGGGATTGCGTTTTTTGGTGATTCAGTAGCACAAGAAGAGATTTATGCCCAAATTGGAATACTAAATACTATCCAGCCTCTACTTCTCATTCTGCCCTTTCTTTCTTGTTTGTTCTGAAATTTTATGTTCCAGGAAAGTGAAATAAAATCTTTTTTTCAAAGCTTTAAACAAAAAAAGCTGAAAAGCCTTGAGCAATGGGGAATGTGTTTTCCTTTATTTCTCCATGTAATTAAGAGATTCTGCCTTATTCAAGTTAATTTTCAAAGAAAACAAAACTTCTCACACAAAAAGATCTAAAATTGTCTTAAAATGTCAATTGTAGATCCTCCAAAATATGTGGTGAAGCACTGTAATACAAGCTGAATGACATGAAATATTTAAATAGCCAGGGTAACTGTACAGATTAATCAATGCAAATGCAACTGATCTTAATGCCGCCTTGCAGAGACAGGTTCTTATTCAACTATACTTTATCATCTCAATCAAGAAATAAAAAATAAGAACATAACAGGACCTAAAATCAACAAGACTAAAACAGAATCCGACTATAATCAAATTCTGATAATGTACAGTAAGTGATAGGCTTTGACTAAGAAAAAGAAAAGAATTATGTAGAAAATGACAATCCACTAACATTCCTTTGAGAATATTTCTAAAATTTTATGATTACTAGTGTGACAAGTGTTCGAAAAGTGAAACAGGTGTGATTTTAACATGATAAAGGTATGAAGAAAAGTAAAATGTCATTTACTATAACCCATTCAATTGACTAATCTGTTTTAATCTATGCTGAAGATAAATTTCTTAATTACATAAATAGAATTTCATTCTGAACAGCCAGAGTTTGACACTATCATCAATTCTGTATATTACAAACTATAAGGCTCTACACTGAAAATGTTAGTGATTAAAGAAAAACATTTTCTAAGTTTACAAGAGACTACTCCCAGAATAAAAACTGTGAAATACTTTAAAATAAAATTTGTCTTTAAAAAATATCAAGCTTTAAGTTATTAAGAAAGTATCCATGCTAATTCTTACTCACCTGGTATTGAGCCATTAATGCCAATGGATTATTATTCTGACTGTTATCAAATGTTAAAACATCAAAAACTCCAACACAATTTACTCGCAACCTTTAAGGACCAGAGAATTTAAAGAAAACAGATTAAAATAAGATTTTTTTTAATTATATACGAATGGAAATTTAACACTTTATAAATGAGGGAAATGAAGATTGTATTAGATACTAAGCATACCTGTCTCAAAAGGTTGTCAAAACACAGAGCAGTAACTTGCTCAAGGTCATACAGACAGTAACTAGCACAGCCAGCCTATAAACCCAGATAACCTCGTACCAGGTCTAGAGCTCTTTATGCTGTGCTGCCCAAGACTATTCTCCAAATTACAGAAACTCCAATAAAACTCAGGTGAAGTCAAGGTCTGTGTGACACAACTCTGCATCAGTGGGACTCAAAGCATGGAACCCAACCAGCGGCCTCAGCACGGCCTGGGAACTTGACAGAAATACAAATTCTTAGGCTCCACCCCAGACCTACTAAATGAGAAACTCTGGGGGTAAAGCCTAGCAATCTGTGTCTAAAAAGCCATCCAGGTGACCCAAGAATCAGAGAAGGAACTGGACTACAGGACTTATTGTCTACATGAACCACTACCTCCTCCACCTTGAGACCAGAAGACTGGATAGTGCTCAGTTACCACTATGGAATGTTCTGATCAGGAACATAATAGAAGAAACCTGATAAAAAGGGAGAAAAATGTGGAACAGAACTTCAAATTCTTAAAGAATCCAGACTTACTGGACCTACTGAGTCTGGAGGAATCCCTAAGACTATGGCCCTAATTTGTTCTTCAAGTCCTGAATCAAAACTATCCCCTGAAGTTACCTTTAAACAAAGTAACAGTTTAACCCAAAGAGTAAAGACTGTCATCCTTAAGTACTGCATTAGTTTAAAAAAAAAATTCTATACAAGACAAAGGGTCAACAGCTATTTTAAAGCACAGAAGAGAAGCGGGGTGGGGTGGGGGACAGGGAGAGTAAGTAAATGGAGGTGAAACAACTAGAACAGAAATAAGGAGAATGTTGACATAATGTGAAGAATGTAACCATTGTAACTGATCATTATGTCTAGAAACTGTGTAATGGAGTGGGTTTTACTGTGTATATTTTCACCAAAAAAAAAAAAAAAAGAAAAAAAAAAAAACAGCTCCTCAGGTGATTCTGACTCATGCTACAAGTTGTACTGACAGTACTTCTACACTCCACCAACCCTAACGACACACAATTCCCCGCCTCTTACCAAGATTTTTGGCTATTAACCAGGTATTTTATTAAAAATTCAACATTTTTTTAACTTACACATGAACTCAAAGTCACAGCAGTTCTTCTGGATGGGGCATATGAAAAGGTAGAATTAAAAAATCATCATATTTTGTTTACTAAGCTGTCAAAGATTAGATGCTGAATAAAGAAGCCAAAACTAAAATGCTAGTACCTCGTTTTGCCAGTTATCAGAATCTTTGTTGGGTCCATAACTCGACATGCCAAACCTGCTGTATGAATGGTACGCAATGCGGAACTTAGCTGGACGATATACGCCCAAATAAGAGATTCTGGCAATAATCCAGCATGCTGTCTGGGCAATGGTCCATCATGTTGACCTATAAAGCAAATAAATTTAAAAATAATATCTCCATTTAAGTATTCAACTAAAATTAAACGGAAAAAAATCTAAACCAAAATTAGCAAAGGAATTTAATAGTAACAAAGGAAGAAATTTGTTAAAAATTATCAAAAGTCATGTCTATTCATGGCACAGCATATCCATGTATATGTACATATATATATTTCAATGCATGTATTTTAGAAGTTTAGTTCTATTAGTAAGAACTTCAGAGACAAACCCAAAGTTTCCTATTTATATTTTACCTTTATATTGTTAGCAGCAGCAAAGCTCTCACTGAAAATGCTCTTTTCTGTGACCATTATAATTACTGAAGAATAAAATCATTTAAAGTATGAATTTATATTTCTATGCCAAGTAAATATAAATTTTCATTAAAAACAGTAAATGTAGAAATTGCTATTTTACTTAAAATGTGGGTAATACTAGTCTACGTAATTGTTTAGGTATGTGAGAGCTGTTCATTCTGTGGATTAAGGGAAGTAAGTCTCTACCATTATTTATGCAGGCAGTGGTAGGTGAGTGGTAGAATTCTTCCCTTCCATGCAGGAGATCTCGGTTTGATTCCTGGATAATGCACCTCACACACAGCCACCACCTGTCAGTGGAAGCTTGTGTGTTGCTACAATGCTGAACAGGTTTCAGTGGAGCTTCCAGACTAAGACAGACTAGGAAGAAGGGCCTGGTGATCTACTTCCAAAAACATCTGCCAATGAAAACACCCTATGGATCACAATGGTCTGATCCTATTGTGCACGGGGTTGCCTCAGGTCTGAGGCCAACTCGATGGCAGCCAACAACAACAACAATAAACCACCATTCACGGTGAATGTTTTTCCTTACGTTGTTCATCCTCTTCTGTTACAGCCATGCCAGTTAGGGTAAGATGATATCCACTCTACACAAACATACATGTAAAAAACTGAATCTCACATATGTGTAATGATGAAACACAAACGTAATCTGGCCTACCATTAAAAGTAGTCATCTGGATTCTGTCAACTCTTGTAAGTGCTTCTTGACGATATTTCTGGGCTAATACTTAAATTAGTAGAAAAGAAGGGCACATAAATTTAACCCAGATTTTATAATTAACTCAAGGATATAACCTTATCAATGCAAGGGTTCATATGGTTGTAAACAAACCTTTTGTGTATCAAGTATAAAAGCAACAGAGTTAAATGGTTAATAGCAAAGATAATAAATAGCAAATGGGCACTTATGGAGGGATAAAATTTCCAGTGATAAGCACAAACAAAATTCAAACACTGCTATCTCTCAACTTAGATGGAACTGATGATAAGACACTCTGAAAAAAAGAGGACTCAAAAAGTGGCTCTAGTGATAAATGCCAAGACAATGTCAAAGATGAATATGAAGAGGTTAAATTTAACTATTTAGTGAAACATGATAATAAGAAAAAGTAACAGTTGTAGCAAACACATAGTGCTTACTGTGTGCCAGATTCCTTATCCACATTAACTTGTTTAAACCTGTCATCAGCCTCTATGTGGCATGGTATTATTATTATTCCCATTTTCTAAACTAATGTGTTTCTTATAATAAATACATGATTTTCAAATTTGTGCTTAAAAATTACATAGTATAAGAAAATAGACTTTCATCGATGTCAATGAAAGTTTATACAAACATTGGCCAATATTTTTCTCTTTTTTAAATATACTCATTGGGAAGACAAAGGATTGCCTTGTATTAGAAGTTGCTGTAAATTAAAACATAATATAGTACCTTTAGGAGTTACAATCATTCAAGCAATATCTTGAAATACTAGAGAAAGGGCTGATTCTTATGAAAATGTAAACATCAATGTATCAAATAATCAGTCAACACCAAAAACAACAATTAAGATAAAAACTAAAAAAAAAAAAAAACCTGACAGGGAATGCTATAAATCAGTGGTTCTCAGAGAGGGTGAACTCTCCCCTCCCCTGGGGACATTTGGCAATGTCTGGAGACACTTTTGGTTGCCTTTACTGTGGGGGAAGGGAGGGTGCTACTGGCACCTAGTGGGTAGAGTTAGGGATATTGCCAAACATCCTGCAATGCACAGGACAGCCCCCTACAACAAATCTGGCCCCAACGTCAACAGTGCTGAGGTTGAGAAACCGAGCTATAAATTAAAACCAACAGTCATTTCACAGGTGTTATTACTAAAATAAACTTGAACAACTACAACCATGTTTATCTATAGGAAAAGTTATACCACATCCCCTTCAACAAAATTATGCATGTGTCTACAGATGACATGGCAAAAGGGAAAAAAATTAACCACACCGTACGACCAGATTTTTAATGTGAAACAGCCATGTAACCACAAATTTCTTCTTTCAACCGTCAGAAAGCAAAGTCACCAGTCCATAGATAGAAGTAATATACTTTTATCCATAATTAGAATCTATAAAGGAGCCACAATCTGAAAGACAGTATAATGTGGACTCAAGCCCCACGCCCCCTTAATTTCTATCGGTATGTATTCAAGAAAAATCTTTAAAAAATTAAAAACCATAATTAAGAATGCAATGTTTTTTTTCTGCTCCAAAACTAGAAAATTAGACCTTCTTCAAAAACATAAATTAATGATAAACAGACATCTCGAAATGGATTTACTTTTTCTCTAAAAATATTTACCCTTTAATAAACATTTGTTAGATATAATTAAAATATTTTGGTCCTTTGCCAAATTTGAATTACTAAACAAGTTTTTAAGTTAAGGGGCAAAAAAAGAAACTGGTTGAAATCATAAATGTTTTGTTATATGTACTTTACCACATTAAAATAAAGAAAGAAAACTCAGGTTTAAGTTACTTGAAAATCTGTCTTGAAGACTGATTCCTTATGTAACACGGAATCCTACACCTTTAAACAAAAGCATTTGTTTAGGGAAACAAGCACATAAATGATACTGTCACATCAGACTATGAGAGAGTCACTAAAATCATATTCAGAAAATATAAAAATTAGGGGGAAATTAGTTATTATCATGATAGATAAAAATATGATTTTAAAAAAAGCATAATAATGCAAAGATAGACAGGGAAAAAAAAAGGTGAAGCTACAGAGATTATTTTCCTTTTTACTTTACTGAATTTTCCAAATCATCTTTAATATCTTTAAAAGAACAATTTAAGAGAAAAAGCTTTTTATCATTATTTCAAAGATCAGATATTGATGTGAGTCTTCCATAACCCATCTCAATCTCAGTAAACACACATAATGCATTATTTCCTAATTTCTTGCAGATCAACTCCATTTCTTTGAGATACTTCTTTATAAGTGAATGATTACAGAGATAAATTTGTATTTATTTTAAAATTTAAAACTACTCTTCCAGAGAGCAGCAGGATTTGTCAAAACAAGCTTTCTTGCATCTTTCTCTTACCCCACTTTCTCTTTGTAAAATAGGCATCAGCATTAGGGTCATTAAAGTGTCTGCTCATCATAGTTTCTCCCCCAGCATGGAAATCGTATGCAAACACAAGAGCTGAAATAAAACACAAACACTCATTACTGCAATCTAGCTTCATATAACAAAGTCCCCACCACCCCGGCAGAAAGACAATTACACCAATTACTCACAAGGTTCTGCAAATGCTTTAGTGGTAAATACTTCCCGCAAGGTTACAATATTTGAGTGCTGAATTTTTTTCCACATATCAACCAATACCATGCACTTTGTGTTAACAAGACGAAAACCTGAAAAAAAAAGTTTTTCTACTGCAGTAAACTGTAAACAATACCACTCCTTATTCCATCAGAAATGTGAAAAAGCCATTATACATCACTTATTAGGTACTGCTTTCCAAATAAAATAATTAACTTATTTACTGCCCTTGAAAGCCAAATATTAAATAAATCAAGATATTCGGGAAGGTCTGAATAATCTTAGCCTTGATAACATGCTTATAAAAGAGGATAATTTCTTTTGCTTACCATGTATCCTCCGAAGGCAATATGGCAGGTCATCTTTACTATTTACAGCTTTGTAGCAAGATGTAATGTACCCAAAATTACTCGATTTCTGTATCCGGTTGGGTGGTGGCAGTGGTTCTAGAGGGAATAGGCTATGGTAGCTGTCAACTTCTGTAGGGACGGCTAGAGTAATTCATAGGAAGATGACTTTAAATTGCATATACTCGTAAATATCTCACAGTAATAAAGGAGAAATCAAAGCTACCATAAACCACTCATGTATCACAATACACTTTTTTATTACAGAACAGTGTCTACATTCATAATAATCCTATAAAACATGGTTTCAGGATCAATAAAAACAGGCAGTATAAAACAACCAAAGGCAATTAAACCTCATACACAAAACTATTTCCTATCTTTTATAGTACAATATAAATTTTTGATTTCTCAGTTATTAGCCAATGATTTGAGCTACCAATTACAGATATTAAACATTTCTGATTCTGATATTGAGTATAAGTAGATTTGTTTCTTTATATATTTTATTTTGTGCAAAATATATTTAGATAATAAAATTAAATATACAAATTCTTATTTTTTAAAGCAAAGGAAATTCAAAACAAATAACATTAAACTGGGGAGTGTATATATGTATGTGTGTGTATGTGTGTGTGTGAGTATGTGTGTATATGGCAATCTGTATCAAAACTCTTGAAAACCAAGGCCTGGCTCATTAAGTACAACTCAAGGAATTTATCCTAAGGAAATAGAGATATGCAACTAGTATCGATGTGGTTTATTAACAATAGTGGAAAAAACTGAAAGTGCAAATGCCTAAGAATACGGAATTGATTATCAACAGGTTATAGTTACAATACAGTCATTCAGTGGAATAACATACTTTTAATCCTTAACAAAAAGAAAAAAACAAAAACAACTTTCCCACCATGCTGCTCATGCTACTCTAAGAAAAATCAAGCTTAAGAGTATATAATGCACAGGAGTTGCTCAGGATATATTGTTAGGCACTAAAAGCTGTGCATCTTAAATCCCATTTTGGTGTTTCATATAAAGACTGGAAAGCTGTACACCAAATGCATTCAGTGAGTGGGTTCTCTATAGGTTACAGGCAATTTATTTTCTTTATACTGCCCCCTATTTTCTAGAATATGTACAGTGAAACCTGTGAGAGTCAGAACTCAACGGGACTGCCTTGTTTTTCTGGGTCTTGAAAGCTTTCTGCTCTTGAGAAGGTGCAGTCTCCTCACTTTTTTACTGCTCATTTTGGTGGAAAATATTTCAGTTTTCCTTCTGACAGGTTTCTGCCTTACACAGGTTCTGGGTTTTGCAGGTTTCACTGTATTAGTTTACAATCCAGAAAAACAAGCATTTTTTTTTTTTAATGCTTCAAATACAATCAATTACATTTTCCAACAGGACAGCTTCCACGAACCGTCATGAATGACTTAGGAATGCTCAAGATATTTTACATGAAAAGCAGATTACTGGACATGCAGTGTATGTACAGAAAACCAACTGGAAAGAAATACCTGTGGATTTACGACACATATTTTGGGGGACACATTTCGATCCGTAACAGATAACCTTATGGGATTGTTGTGAGAACTAAGAGATAATGAGTGTAAAGTATTTGGCAAAAGCAAAGGACTATTTTTAACCTGTTTTCTATAATCAGTGACAGTTCCTGTGAAGAGGAGCTCTGGTGGCGCAGAGGTTAAGCACTCGGCTGGTAACCAAAAGGTCAGCAGTTCAAACCCACCAGCCACTCGGTGGGAGCACGATATGGTAGTCTGCTTCCGTAATGATTACAGCCTTGGAAACCCTAACGGGCAGTTCTACTCTGTCCTATAGGATCCCTGCGAGTTGGAAATTCACTCTATAGCAGTGGGTCTGGGGTTTTTTGGACACCTGTGGACGAATCCCATCTGGGAATAGGGTTTTCTTTATTATGTTTGTGCCATATCAGTGTAGGATGTATCTTAAACCCAATCACTTCTGAGATATAAAAAGAGCAGATTAGGCACAGAAACAAGGCAACACAGATGGGGGGAAGACAGATGCCAACGCCACAAGAAGATGCCCAAGGAACCGAGAAACAGAAGCTGAAAAGAGAGAAGGATCTTCTGCCAGAGCCGACAGAGAGAGAAAGCCTTCCTAGAGCTGGCGCCCTGAATTCAGACTTCTAGCCTCCTAAACTGTGAGAAAATAAATTTCTGTTCATTAAAGCCACCACGTGTAGTATTCTTGTTACAGCAGCACTAGGAAAATTAAGACAGATTTCTATTTCATCATAAGGAAAATAAGGACCACACAGCTAAAAGGAGAGCAGAGATTCAAATCCAGGGCACACTGATTCTGTAGTCTGTGCTCTTAACCCCTAGGTGGTACGGTGACCGCAGTGCAAAACAAACATACACTGATTCAATGTTACTGTCAAACTTAGGTCAAGTGGCATGTTCTATGGAAATAAAGATGGTATAAGGGAAGTATACATCCAAGTGACTATGGCCGTAACTTTTACTTCTGCCCATTTTTTTTTTTTTTTATTTGAACAATCAGTGTAATTCCCAAAGGAGCCCCGGTGGCACAGTGGTTAAGTGCTTGGCTGCTAACCAAAAGGATGGTGGTTTGAACCCACCAGCCGCTCCGTGGTAGAAAAATGTGGCAGTCTACTTCCGTAAAGATTACAGCCTTGGAGACCCTACGGGGCAGTTCTACTCTGTCCTTTAGGGTCACTATGAGTTGGAATCGACTCAACAGCAATGAAGTTTTGTTGTTGTTGTGTTTTTTTTTAAATAATTCCCAAAAAGAAATAAAATAATGGGTAAGTTTTGTTGCCCATCTACTTCATAAGAAGCACTTAATAAAGAAAGCAATTAATTTAACATCAGTAAAAATGTATTGAGCATGTAGTACGTATTATGAAACATGGGTTCTTATCCTCAAGAGGCTTAAGAAAAATAAAGGATACAGATTATATACAACTAAATATAACACAAGGCAAAATACCAAAAGAACCAAACCCACTGCCGTTGAGTCCATTCCAACTCATAGTGACCCTAAAGGACAGAGCAGAATTGCTCCATAGGGTTTCTAAGGCTGTAATCTTTACGGAAGCAGACTGCCACATTTTTCTCCCATGGAGCAGATGGTGGGTTCGAATCACCAACCTTCAGGTTAGCAGCTAAGTGCTTAACCACTGTGCAACCAGGGCTCCTACAAGGCAAAACAGTGATTTAAGAAGCAAAATTCACTACATCAGTGGTTCTTAACTTTAATACACATCAGAATCATCTGGAGGCTTGTTTCAACAGTTTGCTAGGCCTCATTCTCAAGAGTTTTTGATTAAGTAGGCATGCAGTGGGGCCCAAGAATTAATTATAACAAGCTCCTAGGTGATAATGATAAAGGGATCACAATCTGAGAACCAGCGCACAGTGGATATACAGAGAAGGGAGTCATTCTCAAGGATGTTATGAAAGGCCTTGTAGGAGACTTAGCATTTTTACAGCAAAATGAAAGACTGCTTTCAATGAGCTAAACAGAGTGGAAAGAGAGCTTTATGTATAAGCAGAACAACAATAAAATGAGGCTTGAGAGCGTACACAGCGTTCAGGAATGGTGAAATCTCATGTGTTGGGTAGGAGCGTAGGCATACCACAGCGTAGCGGCATAGTGGAGATAAAGCAGAAAAAAGTACATTGCAATTAGATCACAGAAAATTTAAATGCCATACTTTGTAGTTGTTGTTAGTTGCCACAGAGTTGACTCTGACTCGTGGTGACCCCACGTGTGCAAGCAGAACTGCTCCACAGGGCTTCCAAGACTGTGACCTTCCAGCAGCACATCACCAGGCCTGTATTCTGAGGTGCCTCTGGGTGGGTTCGCACCACAACCTTGCAGTTAGTAGTTGAGCACTTAACCGTTTATGGCCTAAATGCCATACTACTAAGGACTTTGAAACGTATTATGCCAACAGTGGTATTTATGTGTGACAAAGAGATTGAGTGAGAGATATAATTGTGACAATTACTAAAAATCTTTCTCATTTCCCTTGATCCCTGCATCCACTTCAAGCAAGCCATGCTGAGTCCCACAGAGTATAGGAAAAGATTTTGTGCCTCAGTGGAAACCTATGCATTACCTAAAGGATACTCCTCAGGTGTCTGACTCGGGTTCTCTGAAAAATAGTTTACAACCCTGCAAATTGTAGATAATTGACAGCAATGCAAAACACCTTAACATTAACCTAGATCTAACTGTACCGGTCCTTTCTACCAACTACTGCCTTCCCTTTCTTTTTCCTTCCTTTTTATATAGTTTACAGTGAAACCTGTGAGAGCTGGAACTCGATAGAACTGCCTTGTTTTTCCAGGCCTCACAAGTTTTCTGCCTTTTACAGGGTGCAGTCTTGCTACTTTTCTATTGCTTGTTTTCGTGGAAAATATTTGAGTTTTCCTCCTCTGACAAGTTTCGGCCTTACACAGGTTCCGGCTTTCACAGGTTTTACTGTATATCTATACACATTACTCAAAAGTATATTATGTACATACATATGTATACATGTATGTATATATGCATATATATAAATACCTATATGTCAATTTTAGTCATTTAACTTTATAAAAGGTATCACACTATATCTAGTCTCTTGCAACTTACATTTTTTACTTAATATTATATTGCTAAGATTCTTCCATGATGTTGCATGTCAGTATAATGCCTTCATGTAAACTGCTGTATAATATTCCATTGTGTGAATATATCACAGTAAATTCATCCACTGTCCTTTGGATGAGCATTTGGATTGTTCACGGTTTCTGCTACTTTGAGCAGTGATGCTATGAACATCTTGTACATTTTCCAATTGAAAATATACAGGAGTTTATATCTAGAAGTAGATACACTGAAGGGTACATTGATGTTAAACTTAAGGAGTTTTTCAAAGTGGCTGCAGGTTTTCCAATTTATACTACCATCAGTAATATATATATAAGAACATGTAGATACATATTCTAATCCTTTCAGTTTCAGGTTTAAAATTTTTTGCCAATCATTTAGTTGTAAAATGATACCTCATATGTCTTTCCCTAATTACCAATGATGTTCAACATCTCTTCATCTATTTATTGATTATACTCTTCTATGAAATTCCTATT